CCCCACTCCTCTCCGCTTCTCTACCCACCACTCCCACCCCACCAACACCATTTCACTCCCATCTGCTTCATCCGCGCCACAGGATTACTCTCCTGTTCAGCAGAATAAATATGAGGTTTGTTTTCTTGCCATTGGATCGTTCTAATTTTCACCTCCGGGTCTCCTCTCCTGACGCTCGACGGCAGAGGTAATCACAACTAACCGTAGATGGAGGAAACACGTGTTTTTATAATGTTCTTTAATGAAGTGTTTGATGATTTTAATCCAAACGGCAACAAAAGTCATCAGAATCATCAAATATTTTATAGTAACATTGTTGTTTTTTAAATAAACAAAGCAGTAGTATCCCCCTTTTTAAAAGACATCCCTTAATTTTCTGTCTACCTTTTTTTACCCTAGTTACAAAACACTACTTCTTAACTATAAAGTAGTATAATATACTTTCTAACTTTTTAAACTACTTGATAGAACCGTTTTCTTGTCATGAGTTTTTACACAGATAAGGAGTTGTTTGTGCATTAGAACTTTTTAAACATTGTTGAAGTGTTTTAATAGGAATTATAATTAATTCTGGTGGGCAAACACAGTCATTGTTGGAAAAACAATAACGGCTTTTCCGTAGGCAGCATCAAACTCAAAAGTGTAAATTTAAATGTATTCATCGTTTTGTAGTTCAATAAGACACACGATTAAAGTTTAGGACAACAATTAAGAGGAAATGAAGATATTTTCTAGACTTTTACAATAAGGTCGTAATAGTGGAATTATTTTTTGGAGCCTTGTTATAATTTATTATTATTATTTTTTAATTCTCGCAGGTCCTCTTCATGAGCATTAAATCATATGTGACAAAAAAACTAAAGACGGGTGGTCGTCACATGACTGAACTGAACCGACACAAAAATGGAAGCATGAGATGGTTTCAGAGGAAACACATAAAACAGCTGGACAGTCCTGAGCTGTGTGTGTGTGTGTGTGTGTGTGTGTGTGTGTGTTGTGGTTCCTCACCTTTTTTAGTCTCACTGATCAGTGGTCTGAGTTTCCTAATCAGGCCCGTCTGGTGCTTCAGCTCCGACTGGAGACGAGTGACCTCGTAGTGCAAAGCCTTGTACGTCTGCTGGATGTTGTCCCTGCAGGTGAAAAGGATGTCCACGTCAAACATTTACATGGCATCTCACTAAATAAATAAATAAATAAATAAATAAATAAATAAATAAATAAATAAATAAATAAATACATAAATGGACGTTTTAAATACTAATGTCCTGTTTTTCAATTCAGGAAAAAAAAGACTAATGATACTTTTTAAACTGTCAGGGAAAATATGACTAAATAAGTCTCATGCTTACTTATTCTCAGAGTACCCTCTATGTGTTTGCTGTAAATTTTCCTAAATCACTTGCTTCTCTTTGCTGACACATTTAACACCATCAACGACTGTTGAGCATAATCGCTTCACAGCATAAGCATCTGACAACTGATCCAGCAATATTACGTCTATTAAAAAAAAAAAAAAAAAACACCATTTGAAGTATCCGGTAACATTAAGGTGCTACTTTAAAAAAAAAATAAACGTGCAAACTGTCCTATCAACACCTTAATTAAAGATGCAGAACCTTATCAACACTTACTTTTATCACCTGCCTCAAACACAAACAAACTGAGAGAAAACTTGTTTTTTCTGCTGTTTAGAACATCACATTTTGCTGATTATACAAAATGCTAATTTACAGGAGACCGAGCATATAAAAGAAAGTCCATAAAGCAAAAACGTGGACACATTTATTATTATTATTATTAGATTTACCCTGCTCTGATGCTACACAGAATTGAGTTGTCTTTGAGGCTTTATGCATCTTGACTGTTCTGCAGAATAAGACGAGCTGCAGCCTCCTCTGGTGACCAAAACAGAAAAGTACCATCTGCTGTAAGCAAACCGATATGTGAAGTGGGCATGCACCTACCCAGCTGGAAAAACTCCATCCCCCTTTGAGACCCAAACAGAATAAAAAATAAATAAAATCAAAAATTAAAAACCAACCAATCCTTTTAGGAATGCTTATCACCAGCTGCTAGCCACATGCTAACGTTTGGGTCAGATGAGAAATGATAAGTTATAGCCTTTCTGGTCAAAAGACAAAACAATGAAGTTTATCCATTTGAACATTCAGTTGAATATGGGTCCCTCATGTCTGCCTCAGGCCTTTGGGGTCAGGTCTGTAGGTCCGCACACTCGCTAGTGAACATTCCAGCATGCTCACAACCGCACACAAACACAGGTGTTCAGATCCAGGTGTTCCTTTCATACACTATGTTTGGACTGCATTTGCCACTAAATACATTTCGTTATAAAACTTGTACCATGTACTTTTCAGCAAGGCTATTATTATTATTATACGCACATGTTTGTTGCTGTGGTTTCTCCGTTTTGTTTTGTTTTCTCTCTCTCTGCAGGAGTAGAGGCAGACTTCAAAAGCTGTCTTGTCTGCTACTACCTCCTTTCACTTCTCCTTTTCTTCTCCGTGTCAGTTATATCGAAATAATCCCAAAAGAATCCCTAATAAAGTTTAAATATCTATCAACTGGAGCATAATGGTAACAGCCATAATGGTTAAAAATAAAGAATATAGGTTGAAAAGGATTTGTAAATCATTGTATTCTGTTTTTATTCATGTTTTAAACAACACCCCAACTTCGTTGGATTTGGGGTTGTACCTCTGACTAGCATAACTGTATGAACTTTACATTCCAAGTAGAGTTAAAACGAATGAAACCCTGCTCAAAGCTGTCCCGTGACCAGACCTACATGTGAATAAACACACGGCTGCGTCACACAGTCAGCCGATCAACAAACACATGTTCCTCTAAAACCACAAAAGGAAGTTCAGTCACCTGAACCGTGCCATTATCTTGACAGTTACGCCTGAGTCACACTTATGGGCATTTATTCACACAACTCTTGACAAGCTTAAATATTTAACCTAACAGGTGCAATGTGAGAAAAGTAAAGAAGCGTAAAGCGATTTGTGTCTTCACGGAACTCCATGTCGCCACAAAGACACGAATGATTTAAACCTATTAAAGTCAGCAGTGCAGGAAAACATCTACGCTTGCAGCTGTCAGCGTTGGGTAAACAGGTAAACATGGAACACAACAGTGATTTCTGTCCTGATTAACACCGAAAAATAACTATTCGGAAAAAAAAAATCACCATATCGTGTCCTGGTAATCCTCTTGTTGGTATAATAACATATGTGACCCATCACAACTAAATGAGGATTAAGTCTAAAAGTGGTATATGGAGGAATAGGCAAATATAGTGTTTTGATTAAAATGTTTGCAAAAATTGCATTTTGTCAAAACATAATGAATCAATGACTTATCAATGTATCATTTGAGTGAACTGTCTGAAATATAATCATAAAACAAAATTTCGAAGCATGTTTTTTTGAGCAGTAGCGACAAAAAAAAAAATCTGATTTTCAGGAAAAACGCCTGAAACTTCTGAGATTTTCCCTGTGAGCCAGCAAAGTTTTTGTTTCTTTCCAGCTGGAAAATCTCAATATTCAAAAATATTAACTGACGTTTTTTTTTTAGTTTTAGTTTTTTCTTGACATCAAAAATTCCTCCGTAAAATTACATAAAATTAGGATTCAGACCAAATATTATTGTATTATCAGCCAACAAGATAAATTAAATCATATATCTGGATCCATGTATGATATGAGAATGATCCTGGTACCAAAATGTAGCTTTTAAAGCCAGGAATCTGAAAATGTAATTGTTGCTTTTTTTTCCCACCCCTCTGTCTGCATCAGCAACCCCTCGCTGCACCCTGTTATCCTGTTTATTAAGGTCTGTAGGCAGAACTGTGAATCAAAGCTGATGAGTGTCCGATCCAACGGCAGGGTGTCACATGGCAGAATGCTCAGCTCTAACTTGTTAAATCTGCAACTGTGGGCTAATATTTGAAACAGCGATACGTCACATCACCTCTGCTTAAACAGATTCCCATCAACACTACTAATATAAGTGATTTGTAATATAAATTTTTACAATATTTGAATGTTCAGAAATAGGACTGCAGCCATTTTTCAACAACATTTATAAAACACTGTACCTTGCACTAATCTTTGCATCAGACGTCTGATCCAAGTTTGGTCCGTTAAGGCCGTGGGATTCCTCCTGAAACAGAGTTCAGTTACACAAAACAAAGACTGGACTTGCCTTCTGTGTGCAAATCTGTGTACGGTTTGTTCTTGTTTTACATTTTAAAAAAAAAAAAAGCGCAAAAAGAAAACAACTGTTTTTTTTTTGTTTTGTTTTTCTGTTTTCTTTTTTGTTTTTCTGTTTTCAAAACCTAAATGTAAAAATGCATGTGGTTGTGGTTTCAGTATGTAGCAATACCAGAAATGATGGAAGTGGTCAAGTCGTCAGGCCATGATGATTTCTGGTTCCGCCAGAAAGTAGCAAATGGTGCGCTAACAAAATACATAGCTTGTTTATGCTTTAACCATTAAAAAATATATATATATTTGGTACAATACAGATC